TCCATTCATCTACTGAGGGGCATCTGGGTTGGTTCCATATCTTAGCTATGGTAAATAATGCTGCAATAAACATAGTTGTGGTGGTAGCTTTAGTGTCACACCGTGATCTTTAGATCTCAGTCTCTTGAGTTGCTGGGATTGTAGAAGCACTAGTGCCAGGCAAAATTTTTATTCTAGAAGCAATCACCAAGCAGAACTTGACGCACACAAGAGATAACGATGGAGCACAGGCAGTTTTCTGCAGCAGCCACACCTGCAGTCCCTGAGCCCTGTGTTTTACACAGGTTACCTGGGACCCCTAGAGCCAGCTAGGAATCAATAGCTATTCCCTGGGAATTAGCAGTTTGCTCTGGAATGTTCTCAAAGTGGGAGACCCACGTCTCTTCTCTCCTCTTCCCAGTCCAGATCAGCCTTCTGAAATCCTGTGTGATTATATCCAGCAGTCCTCCGCAGGGCGGGACATCTTCATCCACGTCATCACCTACAGATGTGATGATCAGGTGCCCACGGTAAGTGCCGGACGCCCTCCCAGATTTCCCTTGGATGTGGCAACAGGGAGCTGGATGGGTGGGCCTTTAAAACTCCATGCAGATGCGAGGGGTTGGTGGCTCACATCTGTCACCCAAGCTAATCAGGAGGCTGAGATCTGAGAATTGTGGTTCAAAGCCAGTCCGGGCAGGAAAGTCTGAGATTTATATCTCCAATAAACCTCCCAAAATTCTGAAGTGGGGCTGTGGTTCAAACAGTACAGCAAAAAAGCTCAGAGACAGCATGCCAGATCCCGAGTTCAAGCCCCGGGACAAGCACAAAAGAGAAAAAACAAAGAAAGAAATGCCGGGCACCGGTGGCTTACACCTGTAATCCTAGCTACTCGGGAGGCTGAGGTCTGAGGATTGTGGTTCAAAGCCAGACTGGGCAGGGAAAGTCCGTGAGACTCTTATCTCCAATAAATCACTCAGAAAACTGGAAGTGGAGCTGTGGCTCAAGTGGTAGAGCGCTAGCCTTGAGCTGAAGAGCTGAGAGACAGTGCCCAGGCCCAGAATTCAAACCCAACCACCGACAAAAAAAGAAGGAAGGAAGGAAGGAAAAGAGAGAGAAAGGAAGGAAGAAAGAAAGAAAGAAGGAAAGAAGGAAAGAAAGAAAGCAAGCTCCCTGCAGGACAGGACCTGCCTGTCCAGCACCAGTTCTGTGGGGGACATGGGGAGCCTTGGAGATTTGGGAGCTGAGTGCCTGGTGGAATGTAGGTGTGCCCTTAGTAAGGCCGACTCTGTCACTGTCCCCACAGGCTATCCTGAAGAACCTCACAGAAGCACTGGGGGGCTACTACCATAGCTACAGTCCCGAGACAGAGGTAAGCCCTCAGCCAGCACTTTGGCCCTCTGCCTGCTGGGCCAGGACAGACCATGCCCTACACCTGCTTCCTCCTTCCTCCCCCATCTCACGCTCAAGACATGGGCACAGGTAAAGTCAGATTACAATGATGTGATGGGAAGGCCCGGGATAGGTTGAAGACAGTGGCCGCGAGTTGGCTGTAAGCTTGGGAGTCTAGAGGCCTCCCACTGCCTTGTTGGGGAATCCTCAGTCACTACCCAAGCTGCCTCTGTGCCCACTGCAGCCCCAAGTATGAAACAATTGTCTCCCTAAGATGGGGTTCCTATTACTGCGAGGGACCCACAAATAGGACAGAATGAGCCCATCCACTTCAGATGAAATCATCTGCTATGTCTTTGTCTTCACTGACAGCTAAATATCATTGACCCCATGTTTCTTCCCTGTGGAAGTAACAGCAAATGTGCAGATCTTTTGACAGATTAAGGATTCAATCATGCCAAGTGTGGTGGTTTACATCTGTAATCCCACTGGTCAGGAGACTAAGACAGGAGGATGACATGTTCAAGCCCAATCTGGGATAAACATAGTGACCCCAAAAACCCCACAAAGATAGGTGGTGAATACAGCCATAATACTCAATGTTCATAGGTGAAAACTGAACTTGGGGACTTGAGGGTGCCAAATGATTTCTGGAGGTTCATTGATCTCCCTCTCCCCCCACTTTTCAGCTCTACACCAGTCAGGATGTGAATGAGCTCCTGGAAGAAATTCAGAAGGCCCAAAGCCTCCTGAGCCATGTGCAAGCCCTGCGCCAGAGCGGCCCCTGCGAGGAGCTGGCCTGTGTCATGAAGCAGGTAGATGGTGTGTGAAGGGCCTTTCTGTCCCCTGTGCCACAGGGCTGGGAGAGTTAACCTCAGTTCTTCACTTTACACCTGTGGACAAGGAGAGACTAGGCTAGATCAAGCCCTAAGTGGCTTGGTGTAGGAGAGAACTTAGAGAGGAAAGGGATAAGGTTGATGGGGGGGGGGGAAGAGTGGGTGTGTAGCAGAGAACTTGCTAGCTCTATGATATTCTGTAATGAGAGTTTTCTAACTTAATTTAGATCTCCACCGAGATTGCAAAAGGACACCTCACAAGTCTTTTGCCTAAACCCCCGAAGCATGAAGCTCCTCTCACAATTGAATTCCCAAACTTGGACAAGACCTCTGCAGAATGGCTCAAGGTCAATGGTCTAAAAGGTAAATCCTGAAGGAGGGATGATTCCCAGGACAACAGGTAGGCCAACTAAAAAGACTAGAACCTTTGGGGGCTTCTTAGCCAATGCCTGAATTCCACTATTTTTTTTCTTCAGGTACTAGGGCTTGGGGCTTGGGTACTATCCCTTAACTTTTTTGTCCAACATTTGTTCAACAGTTCCATCAGTGGAAATAAGAGTCTCATGAACTTTCCTGCCCAGGCTGGTTTCGAACCTTGATCCTAGATCTCAGCCTCCTGAATAGCTAGGATTACAGGCGTGAGCCACCAGTGCCCAACCCACTGTTTCTTTCTTTCTTTGTTTATTTTCAGCCAAGAAGTTGAGCCTTTATCAGGTGCTGGCCCCCAACGCATTCTCTCCTGTAGAAGAATTTGTGCCCATCCTCCAGAAAACAGTATCATCAACTATCCACCAGGTAAAATTTATAGTCACAGTTCTTTCCTATCATCAGCAGGGCTGCTTTGCACATAGCCTTATGTGAGTACAGGCTGAGACAATCATAAGGCAGAACCAAGTTACTATGAGCCTGAAAGCCTGGCAGGATGCAGAATCACCGCTCGGGACTCAAGAATTCATCAAACCGAATGTACAGAGTTAGAGATGGGGTTCAGTACCAGTGCCACTTAGCATGCACAAGGCCCGTGTTTGATATCCAGCACCAAAACAAAAACAAACAAAAAAATCTACTCTAATAGCTGGTTTTCAAAGACCTGGAAATAAAAGGTAGTCAATGAGGCAAGAGGGAATATATTAGGCACCACAGTACCTCCAAAGTTTTCCTCCAGCCCACTCAGATAGGACATAGTTGATATTATGTCCTTGCTATTCCTAACACAGACGTCTATGATTACCCAACAGTAGGCTTATGCGGTGAGCATATTGCCCAAGTGTGAGTCCTCCAAAAAGGGTCTCTTCAACTCTGTATCCCCCTGTGTCTGCTGCACAGAAGCAGTCAATGAATGCATACTGGATGGCTGAGTGGATGAGTGGGTAGATGGGAGGAAGAGAGGGTGGGAATTATGGATGGGTGAATGAATGGAAATATTGATAAATGAATGGAAATATAGATGGGTGGTGGGTGGGTAGATGGATGATAAGGTAGAGGTATGCATGTATGTATGAATGGATGGATGGATAGATGGGAATGCTGATTGATAACTAGAAATGTAGGTGGATGGATGGATAGAAATGTGAAGAGAGGAAAGGAAAAATAAAAAAGAAGGAAGCAATGATAGGTGGATAGGAATGTTGAATAAATGAAAGTGAAGATAGGTCAGGATAGAGGGAGGATGGAAGAAAGGATATGTAAACATATGGAAGAGAGGTAGGAAAAAGAAAAGAATGAGAGATGGTAGAAACATTGAAGAATGAATGAGAATGAAGGTGGATGGATGGATGGATGGGTGGGTGGATGGATGTATATATGAACAGATAGAAAGATGGAAGGGAAGATGGAAAGATGGATAATAGAAAGGGATAAAGACAAAATTATGAGAATAAAAGTTAAATTGTAAGTGGAGCTGCAAGCCTTGAACAAAAAAGCCTAGGGACAGTGCCTAGTTCCCCCTCCCCCACACATACAAAATGAAAGGATGGAAGAAGTTGAAGGAAGGGTTACTAGATAAATAGAAAGTTCTATGGAAAGGTAGAAGGCTGAAAGGCAAGCAAGAGGAGTGGCAGCTGGATGGCTCCGGCAGTGGGTAGACGAGATGGAAGCCTGCTGGCAGATGGAAGAATAGGAATGGATACATTGGGAATCCTGTGTCCCCGTGGGCCTTGCTGGCTTCGCAGCATCAGGAAGCAGTGGCTAGTATGACTCTGCTTTATTACCTCCACCCCTAACCATACCATAAGGCCTTGAGGGGAGGGGCTCAGAGGTGGCTCCCAGGAGGGAGCTAGACTTGCTGTCAGTCATGGTTCATTCAGCGGATCCATTTCCCAAAGGTAGCCTGCTATAGGCTTCACACAAGTCAATGACACACTGGGAGAGAGGCTGGGGATAAGGAAATCCAACCCTGGATGTGCTCTGAGCCTGTTTCTCTCCCATGCATCTAAGGCAAAAAGCCAGTGACTAAAACAAAACAAACAAAACCCTTAGGAACCAGGTGCTAATGGCTCATGCCTGTAGTCCTAGCTACTCAGAAGGCTAAGATCTGAGGATCACAGTTCCAAAACAGCCAGGGCAGAAATGTTTGTGAGCCTCTTATTTCCAATTAAGAGCCAGAAAGAAAGAGCCAGAAGCGGAGCTGTGGTTCAAATGGTAGAACACACCAGTCTAGAAGGAAAAAGCTGAGCAAGAGCATGAAGGCCTGAGTTCAAGGTCCAGTACCAGCACAGATGCAATTAACTAACTAATGTAAACTTTTGCTCCTTCTCCATATGTGCCTCTGGTCACCTGCTTCCTGTCCTGCTCACCTCTGAACTCAGAAGGCAATGGTACAATTTGAATGGCATGATGGGACAGTGAAAAATATCCACGTGGACCCGCCCTTCCTCTATGAATACCAGGTGAGGGATGGATGCCATTCATCTGGAATATGGGGTGCAGGAATGGACTAAGGGCTGTGGTGATGCCAAGCCATTGATTGATACCCTGTTGTGAATTAGAGTCTCTGAGCTTCACAAGCACCTGCCCTCGTATGACCCACATATGACCCTCCCTTTCCTAGCCTCATGGCAGAACTGCTCATGACATAGAAGAATAGACGTCTCTTCTGTTTGGGCACCCAGGCATATGACATGGCCATTCTTCAAGCCCACTGGAGTGTCTGCCCCTCTGAGCTGTTCCCCTTAAAACAATGACTCTCAGGAGGCTGAGATCTAAGGATTGTGGTTCGAAGACACCCAGGGTTGGCTTTTTTTTTTTTTTTGGCGGTCATGGGGCTTGGGCGCTATCCTTGCACTCTTCAGCTTAAGGCAAGCACTCTACCGTTTGAGCCACAGCGCCACTTCTGGTTTTCTAGGGCTTTATTGGAGATAGGAGTCTCACAGACTTTCCTGCCGGGGCTGGCTTTGAACCATGATCCTCAGATCTCAGCCTCCTGAGTAGCTAGGATTATGGGTGTGAGCCACCAGTGCCCAGCCTCCAGGGTTGGCTCTTATCTCCAGCCTTTGAGACTATTTTGTCAGCCATGGAGCTTGAACTCAGGGCCTGGGCTCCGTCCCTGAGCTCTTTAGCTCAAGACTCGTGCTCTACCACATTGAGCCACAGCTCCACCAATTTTCTGGCGGTTAATTGGAAAGTCTCCTGGACTTTCTTGCCTGGGCTGGCTTCAAACCATGATCCTCAGATCTCAGTCTCCTGAGTAGCTAGGATTACAGACATGGGCCACCAGCATACTTTTCTCCTTGAGACTTTTATCTCCAATTAACTACCAAAAACAGCCAGAAGTAGAGCTGTGGTTCAAGTGGTAAGGCACTAGCCTTGAGAAAAAAAAAAAAAAACAACTCGACAGTGCCCACCCCCTGAGTTCAAGGCCCTGGACGTGTGTGTGTGTGTGTGTGTGTGTGTGTGTCACAGCAACAATGACTCATGATTGCTCCTATTCTTCAGAAGCAGCTTGGTAGAGTTGTACGCATGTACGAGAGGCGGGTCGAGTGGCTCTCCCTGGCCAGCAGAAGAATTTGGGGCACCCTCTGTGAAAAAAGGTACCTTCTCCAAGACGGCTCCTTCCTCCATGGGTCTGCAGGAAGACCAAGGATTATCCACTCAGGATTCCCCGTTGGCAGCCTCATATACCACTGCTTGGTGGGGATTGGAGATCAACAGCCTCTGAACAGAATAACTATAGGGAAAGAGAGAGGACAGGCCATTGCCATCATTATTGTCACCTACAGAGTCGTCAGCATGTCACTCAGGATTCTTTTCATTTTCCCCTTTGGTGCTGGTACTGGCCTGCATACTTTCCCTTAGCTTTTTTGTTCAAGGCTGGTACTCTACCTCTTGAGCCATACCCCCACTTCCAATATTTAAGTGGTTAATTGGAGATGAGAGTTTCATGGGGACTTTTCTGCTTGGGCTGGCTTCGAACTGTGATCCTCAGCTCTCAGCCTCCTGAGTAGCTAGGATGACAGGCGTGAGCCACTGGTGGCTAGCCTTCAGACAGATTTGATGGCTATCTTCAGTCATGTCAGGAATCCTTCTTTTAGCTCTGCTTGCTTCTCTGAGTGCTTTGTCTACAGGTAGATTCTTCCCTCAGGGTGACGTGGTGGCTGCCTACAGCCTGAGAACTGCTTTTTACTACCATAGCTCTCTAGCCAGGGAGACACAATGCTCTGATTCTCCAGGGCCAAATGCCCAGCCCTGAAGCCTGGGGTCAGCTTTACCCAGCTCAAATGGACTGATAGAGACAGAGGTGTTTCCTAAAGGAAAAAGAGGTCACAGTTGAAGGAAGAGGTAATAGATGATAAGTAGAATGAGACAACTCTCAAACTGAGACTGGAGCTGGGTGCTGATAGCTCACACCTACAATCCTAATTACTCAGGAGACTGAGATCTGAGGATTGTGGTTCAAAGCTAGCCTGAAAGTGGGGGTCTGGTTCAAGGGGTAGAGTGCTAGCCTTGAGCAAAAAAAGCTCAGGGACAGCACCCAGGGCTCTGAGTTCAAGCCTCAGGACCAGCACACAATATGAGAGAGAAACAGAGAGATAGACAGAGAGACAGAGATAGAGAGACAGAGAGGAACAGAGAATATAGAGAGGAGATTTAAAGTAGTAAAATTAGAGGGAGACAGAATAGGGCTGGCTGGATCTGGGGCAGGAGAGCTTAAAGATAAAAAAAGAGAGCTGGCCGCTGGTGGCTCACCCCTGTAATCCTAGCTACTTAGAAGGTTGAGCTCTGAGGATTGCAAATTCAAAACCAGCCCAGTCAGAAAAGTCAAAAGGCCAGAATTAGCCAGGTGTGATGGATCTCAGGAGGCTGAGATCTGAAGATGGAAGTTCAAAGCCAGCCCAGGCAGGAAAGCCTATGAGATTCTTACCCAGTTAATCACTAAAAAGCCACAACTGGAGCTGTGGCTCAAGAGGTAGACTGGTAGCCTAAAGGGGGAAAAGAAAGATTAAGGACAATGCCCTGGCCCAGACCCTGAGTTCAAGCCCCAGGACCAGCATATACACAAAGTCAGAGTGGAGGTGTGACTCAAGTGATAAAGTTAAAGGACAGTGCTTAGATCTTGAGTTCAAACCCCAGTACCAGCACACACACACACACACACACACACACACACACACACACACACACACACACTGAAAACTAAAAGATAGACATTTCCCAGAGGCCCAGGTTCACCTAGCTCCATTCCTCAGGATTCTGTTTTCTCTGCAAAAAGACCTTGATCTATAGAAATGTTGAATACTAACCCTTTCAGTGAAGACATTTATATAAATCATAATGTGCCTATACCCAGCTGTTAAGCCAGGTCTCCGCCACAATTCTTCATTCCATTATAGAAAGCTCCTGGGCCAGAATGTGCCACAACCCCCTCTATAGTCTACTGTTGACCTTAGACCCCACCACCACCACCACCACCAAATTGAAGATTTTGGCCAGCTGTAAATTTGGCCTGTAAAAATCTACCCCCACACCCTCCACCCCAGTCCCTGGAAAACACTTTAAATAGTAAAATGGAACGAAATGAAGGTTATCTGAGCGCTTCAGTTCTCCTCTTGAAGCTTGTGTTTCTGTTTTAGGGTGGTGATACTGCTGGACGTCTCGGTGACCAATTCCATGTACATTATTCATATCCAGCACTCACTGCGGCTGCTGCTGGAGGAGCAGCTGTCCAATAAGGACTGCTTCAACCTCATTGCGTAGGTGCTCCTGGGCTTCCGGTGGGGTGGGGAGGGGCCAAGGGTTCCAACACCTGCTGTGCTGGGCTGGGCTGGGTTATGGCTCAGCCCAAGGTAGGCAGACCACAGATACTGACATCCCACCCACCCAGCAGTCCAAGAAGGCCAATCACTTTATCTGATTGAGGTGATCTTGTTTGGGCCATTGAATAATTAAGTGATAGCAAGAATGTCTCGCTGGGGTGAAGGTAGTTAAGTGGCCCCAAAACACAGTACTCTATCAGCTAGGATAATGTAACTCAGCCCATTGCCCCATTTGGCTTCCAAGCGAATAAACAAAAAGATGGCTTCAGCCAGGCCTGAGTCTTGAGCATTTAGACTGGTCTAGCAGACCACAAAATTTCAACCATCTGGGATTCTCATTTCTAAATTTAAATAAAAATTGAAGATATATACGTTTACATCCTATGTATGTATGCATGTATCTATTTATCTAATTTTTAAACTATAAAGATTTTTATGTGTATGCCATTTACCAGGACTTGAACTCAGGCCCTCAAGTTCTTGCTTGGCTTTTTTGCTCAAGGCTAACACTATACCACTCAAGCCATACCTCTGCTTCCAGCTTTTGGGTGATTAATTGGAGAGAAGACTCTCACAGACTGTTCTATCTAGGTTGGCTTTGGACTATACCTCAGATCTCAGCTTCCTGAATAGCTAGGACTACAGGCATGAACCACCAGTACTGGGCTGCATTATATGTTTTTTATAAATTACTGCATATATTATTTTGGGGGGGCTATTTGGGGGGTCCAGTTGTGGGGCCTGAACTCTGGGCCTGGGCGTGGCCCTCAGCTCTTCATCTCAAGGCTAGCGCTCTACCACTTGAGCCACAGCACCACTTCCGGCTTTTTTCTTTTTGCTTATGTGGTGCTGAGGAATCGAACCCAGGGCCTCAGGCATGCAAGGCACGCACTCTACCACTGAGCCACCTTCCCAGCCCTGCATATATTATTTTAAAATTACATTTTATATATGATTTTACATATTACTGTATATGTTATATGGTTTTTAAATTATGTTATGCATATGACCATAAATCTATCACAAAAGTTTATTAAATTTAAAAATTATTTATAGGCTTTTAGATTGGATATCATCTCAACTAATTAGGGAAGACAGAGAAGAGAAACCCACTTAAGGTGGACATTTTTACTTAGTTTCAAACCAAATAGAACTTGGCCTAAACCTATTAAGTAGTTAGAATTAGATATTTTTAAACTGGGAGCTGCTGGCTCATGCCTGTAATCCTAACTACTCGGGAGGCTGAGATCTGATGATCATGGTAAGAAACCAGCTTAGAGAGGAAAGTTCATGAGCAGCTTACCTCCAATTAACCATCAAAAAGCTGGATTACAGGCCTGAGTCACTAGTGCCTAGCTTGTTCGTTTTTTTCACTCAAGGCTGGCAATCATACCTCCCACTTCTGGCTCTATGATTGGTAATTATAGATGAGTCTTATGGAATTTTCTTTTCTTTTGTTTTCCCTCCTTTTTTGGTGCTGGTCCTGGGGCTTGAACTCAGTGCCTGGGTGCTGTCCCTAAGCTTTGTGCTCAAGGCTAGCACTCTACCATGTGAGCCACAGCTTTGCTTCCAGCTTTTTTAATGGCTAATTATAGTTACAAGTCTCACAGACTTTCCTGTCTGGGCTGGCTTCAAATCACAATCCTCAGATCTCAGCCTCCTGAGTAGCTAAGATTACAGGCCTGAGCCATTGGCACCCAGCTCATTTGGCTTTTTTACTTAAGGCTAGCATTCTACCACTCAAGCCACACCTCCACTTCCGGCTTTTTGGTAGTTAATTTGAGATGAATCTCATGGACTTTTCTTCCCAATCCTCACATCTCAGCCTCCTGAGTAGCTAGAATTACAGTCATGAGCCACCAGCACCCAGCGACCTTGCAGAATTTTAAGCAAGGTTGTAATGTGATCAGATATTCATCTTGGAATGCACAAAGCAGTGATGTAAGGATGAACTGAAGAGGTTCATCCTGAAAAAGGGGTGCAGGAGAGAGATGCTGGGGAGCTGAGGGTACAGAAGGGGGTCACTGCTTTGGCTGCAGGATGGGGGAGGGGTGGAGAGAAGATGATTTAAATACAAACTTGGAAATCCCAGTGCTACCATAAACATACAGAGGATGTTGGGTCTGGAGATCCTCAAAAGGGGACAATGCTTACTTCATCATGCCTAGACCGTGCAATGCACCCCTCTCCTCCAGAGGTGATGTGAAGGAGAAGATAGCCACAGGCAGCCCTTGGAAAACATCACTACTGAAGAATGGGGAGAGGAAGGGAACGGCCTAAAGAAGCCAGGAAAGGAGGAGTCGAAGGGGCGGGAGAGGATCCAGGAATGAATGGTTACCGGGAAACCACAGAAAAAAAGGTGTTGTGAGGAAATGGAGTCGCATCCTGCAAAACAAAAAAGGAAAGAGGATACTGGGTATCGGTGGTCATACCTGTAATCCTAACTATTCAAGAAGATGAGATCTGAGGTCTGTGGTTCCAAGCCAGCCTGGACAGAAAAGACTGTGAGACTCTTACCTTTTTTTTTTTAATTTTTCTCTCTTTTTTGCCAGCCCTAGGGCTTGAACTCAGGGCTTAGACATTGTCCCTGAGCTTCTTTTGCTCAAGGCTAGCACTCTACCACTTGAACCACTTTCGGCTTCATGTGTGCTAGGCAAGCACTCTACCACTAAGCCACATCCTAGCCCTGTGAGGCTCTTATCTTCAATTAACCAGTAAAATACTGGAAGTAGAGCTATATCTTAAGTGATAGAGTGTTAGCCTTGAGTGGAAAAAAGCTAAGCAAGAGTGTGAGGCCCTGTGCTCAAGCCTCATGACTGGCATAAAAATTAAAAATAACACCTGGGTGCTGGTGGCTCACGCTTGTAATTCTACTCACACCTGTAATCCTCCCTACAGCCATAATCACCTACTCCAGAGGCTGTGACCTGAAGATCATGGTTCAAAGCCAGCCTAGGCAGGAAAGCCTATGATACTCGTATCTCCAGCTAACCACCAAAAAGCCAAATAGACCTGTGGCTCAAACTTGTAGAGCACTAGTGAAAATGCTCAGGGACAGCACCCAGGCCCTTGGTTCAAGCCCCAGGAACAGCACCAAAAAATAAATAAAATAATAAATATATAAAAATAAATATAAATACATATATAAAATAACTTTTTTTAGGGGGGGGGCACTGTCCCTCAGCTCTTCAGCTCAAGGCTAGTGCTCTACCACTTGAGCCACCTTCCCAGCTCCTAATTTTAAAAAAGAAAAGAGAGAGAAAGAAAGAAGGAAGGAAGGAAGGAAAGAAAGAAAGAAAGAAAGAAAGAAAGAAGGAAAGGAAAGAAAGAAAGAAAAACAAGAAAAAACCACTGATGTGTTCCTTGGGGGGAGTGGAGGTTTAATGCAGAGAAAGGAGACAGCAGACACAGTCAATATGTCAGAAAGGAAGCCAACCAAAGCTGAGGACTACAGCTCTGTGTGCTTGGAATGTTCTGGAACAAGTCACAACCAGAAAGAAAATCTCCCAGAATTTTGCTCTCCTAAAACCAGGAGAACTAGGCTACTGAGTAGGCATACGCAAAGCAAAATTTTCACTTCCTCCTC